TACAGCAGGAAATTACCCTAGTGTGGTAAGGGCTGAGTTTAGCAGAGGCAAACGCACTTAAGGAGAGATTTAAGAACAAGTTTTCAGGAAGAGTCTTTTTTCAGTAAGTAAGAAAACGTTGCTTGTTCAGAATTTTTCAGTCGCTGTCATAGTTGTTACGAATGTCTGGCTTTAAGCTGCTGTTAGCAAATGTTTGCCTGAAATGTCTAAAGATCGACTAGCTGGCTGCTAGTCCGCGTTAGTACACTTTGTCTTTTAGACTCGGGCACAATTTAGTAGTTTAGACAACTTTACCTTTATTAAGATAATGTACAGTTGGTGTCGCTTTCAACCTGTTTTATCACCTAGTGACTTTATCCGACAGCTAACTACTATGCAGCTAGGCTATGCTAAATGCTAACTTACCAGATACGCACTTGGTGTGTAACATCGAAAAGTTATGAAATCCACAAACAGCCACTACATAAACCAGTAATACAGCTGAACAATAATGTTTCGGGATAGTTCAACCTTATGGCCATTTTATGCAGAGCAGTTTGTCGTTCTAATTGTCTAATTGGCCAGTCATTTCTGCTGGACTTGTACTTGACTGGCATGATGCGGCACTCCGTTCACAATCTGTACTTGCCTCGCTCTTTGTCAGAGATGCATTAATTTTGTAACTCGGCATACATAAAATGTACACAGAATTTCTTTAATTAAAATGTGTTTGTTTCCTGTTTGATTGTTCTGTTTGTCCTCAGAATATTCTTCCATCAGAGTAAGAAAGAAAATCACTTTCAGCCTTACCCGTTTAGGGGTCGCCACAGCGAATCGTCACACTGACGACTCGCAGGTTGACATTTGGCACGTGTTTTACGCTGGATACAGAGTACATTCTTCTAAAAAGTTGTTTGCTTCTGCTCTTGTTACCAAAGTTAATGCAGATGAATTTGGGAAATTGAGAAGCAACAGTTTTGCTAATTAATCTTTTCCATCATTTTCAAACACAATGCAGGAATGGACAGTGTCTCCAGTGTGAGGCTTGGTAGCTTTTCAGTGTCATTCGTGACAGCACAGTGGATGACGTTTGCTTTTGGACTGTTTGAACAAAAATCTAACTAGTAGATCATGTTAGGTAGTTTTCACCTTACTGACATTTCACAGACCTTTAATTGAGATATCTCAGTGAGAATAATTAGCAGAGTAAATGGATTAAAACAATCATAAGTAGCAGCCCTAAACGTTTTTGAATTGAGTTTGCTGTAAACTGCTCTCTTCTCAGTAGATAATAGCATACATTTGTGTAACATCCAAATGGATCTAATGATAGAGGATGCTGTATGTTTTCCAGATTGTAAAATCTTGTAAGATGAAAAAAAGCTCTAGTCACTTGACATGCATAAATAATCTTAACTTCACTCCCTTCTTGTATTTTAGGCTACCATGGCCTCCTACACTTGCATCAGCTGCCGAGTGGCTTTTGCAGATGGCGAGGTGCAGCGAGCACACTACAAAACTGACTGGCACCGTTACAACCTGAAGCGCAAGGTGGCCAACATGCCACCCGTCACTGCTGAAAACTTCCAGGAGCGTGTCCTGGCACAGAGGGCCGCTGCTGAACAACAGCTGAATGACACAGCACTCACTGAGGGCTGTGCCATCTGCAACAAAAAATTCTCCACTGCCAACGCATACCAGAACCACCTGCAGTCCCACAAACACCAGCAGGCTGAGAAGCAGGCCCTGCTCGCTGCCCAGCGGAAAGTTGAGAAGATGAACGAGAAGAACCTGGAGAAGGGACTAGGTGACGAGAAGGCAGACCACGACACCAGGAACGAGGCCCTGCAGCAGGCCCTGAGAGAGCAGCAGAGGCCCAGCCCGGCCAAACAAGCAAAGGTCCAGGCATCGCAAGGAGCATCAAAGCCGAGGATGGAGAAGGAGAGACCTCCCAGGATGATGTGGCTGGAGGAGCAAGCCAAAAGGCGAGAGAAAGAAGAGGGAGCCACAGCCGAGAACGGTAAGGAGGGGAGATGAAACCACTGTGGACAACTTTTCACTTGTATCAGATACTGGTCTGTATATTTTTCTCGCATCCGAAGCACGGTCTGCTTGTTTTAGGATATTTTTTAAAACCGTTTCTGATTATTTTTATGTTCTTTTTGACGCATAAGCCAGAGCAGTCCCTATTAGGGCTGGGCTATTATCTTAAGCAAAATGAATGAATTAATATTTTCAACAAATTTCATGAAAAGACCAAACCATTTCTCAGCACTTCTCTGACCTCCCTACACTGATAACACCAAATCACATCTTCATTTTTTTGTGTTGATATATGTTGCCATAAAAATCATTCAGAGGAGTGGGAGGATGTTGATGAAGATGATGATGATGATGAGATGGAGGAGGAGGAGGATGATGAAGAGGAGATTATGGACCAGGAGGAAGGAGACTCTGCTGCTCTGTCTCACTCCCCTCTAGCTGCTCTGCCAGGCTCCATCCCTGTCACCGACTGCCTGTTCTGCTCCCACCACTCAAAGTCACTCATGAAGAGTGTCACCCACATGACCAAGGTCCACAGCTTCTTCATCCCTGATGTGGAGTTCCTCATCAACCTCAGGGGCCTCATCCGTTACCTCGGTGAGTCAGTGGATCTGTAAATGTGAGGAAGCGTCATGTGGTGTTAAACAGTGGTTGTTTTCGGTGCTACACTGCCTCAGGCCATTTAGTCTGCTAGGGATCTTAATGTTGACTCGTGTTCCGCTGAAATAAATCAGAATTTAGTCCATAAATCCAGTGTATTCCCAATTCCAGGAAGCAGGAAAGTGTTGAATGAGGGTTTATTTTAGGATAGATTACAATGGCAGGTGATTTTATTTTTATTTTTTTTTCCTTTAGGAACATTAGGCACAAAACAGAATAAAACCAAACCGTAGTCTAGTTCACATAGGCAGCAGGACATGTAATTAAATATATTTGGATCCTGGATTCTAAATCAGTCTTCCCATCACTTAATTATTTCTCCGCAAATGTCCATTGTAGTTGGGGAATGGTGAACATGTTGATAGAAAATGTTTAAATTAAGCCAAGCCTGGTGTTATTAGAAGAATATGCTCTCACACTGAGCCATCTGCCAAACTTTTGTGTGTAAAATAGCTTTTGCTCAGAACCTAGATGAAATCAGATCATACTTCAGCAAGCCAGACCCCTTGCATACAGCTTTCCCACTTATGTTCTTAAAGTTCATCCATCCTGTCAAGCAGCAACAGCGCATTCAGTGGGTTTTGGAACTGTCAGCAGAGCTGTAGTGACCAAATGACCATGTTACTGCCTGGTTCGATAGCAGAGACCCATTTATCTTTCGAGGGAAAACCTCAAGAACAGATTCCTTTTTTATTTAAGCAAGTTTTTCATTTATTCGAAAACATCACTCGAAAGAATTGATACTTTGTTTTTATGTCTAAATAATAGGAAAACCTACAGACTGGTTCAACAGTCACTCTGCCTTATGTGAACTTGATCTTTCCAAATATCAGATGAACGATTTTCCCAGCTGGACCTAAACCAGTGTTCATGGAAATATCTTGCACCTGCAGGCAAAAGCTGCTTTTGTTGTTGCACATGATTTCATTTTCATGTTTTCTTACTAGTCAATCTAATTTGAATCTTTTCTCCTTGTGTCACAGGAGAGAAAGTCGGTGCAGGGAACGTGTGTTTATGGTGTAATGAGAAGGGGCGTTCGTTTTACTCGACAGAAGCGGTACAGAGTCACATGACAGACAAAAGCCACTGTAAACTCTTCACAGATGGCGACGCTGCTCTCGAGTTTGCAGACTTCTATGACTTTAGGTAATAAAACAATTTTTAAGCTAATTACTCTATATGTATCTTGCACTGTGATCTGTTTAGTCTTCTAGAGACCAGTGGGAATGGATGAAATGCATCTTCTCCTGTAGTGATACTGGTATCTAATGACAGCAGGGAGGTTTTTATTCTGTTTTGCTGTCATTTTAGTTCACGCTCCTTTGTTCTTTGCCAACAGGAGCAGCTACCCTGACAGGAAGGAGGGAGACAACACTGAAGTGGATGAAGAAGAGCTTCCTGATGACAAGAACCTGGAGTATGATGATGAAACACTGGAGCTGACTCTCCCTTCAGGTGACCTGGCATGATATTAGTTTTTAGAATCAGCAATGGTCCATAGTGGATTATAATTAAGAGTACAGAATATGTGGCTTTAGATTTCTGGCTTACTGCCATTCAGAGTGTTATATTACCTCTAAAAGTGCATGGTGTTAAGAGTCCCAGAAAGAAAAACTAGACCTGGAGATGTTTGATGTCGCCTTCACTATAGCGTGGTTTTACTGTTTGTGCTTATTTGTCCGTTCTGTAACAGAATGCGTGTCCTTGCTGTGTTTCCTTAGGTGCTAAAATCGGCCACCGTTCCCTCATGAGGTATTACAAACAGCGGTTTGGCACTCAGAGAGCGGTGGCTCTGACCAGCAATAAGAACGCTGTCCACAGGGTCCTGCGGCAGTACCGATCCCTGGGCTGGGGAGGAGACGGAGGTGAGACTCAGCCTGGGCCGCACAATGTTAGAGTAGTTTTCTATTTAACATTTGATAGAGAGAAACAAGTCAGAGAACTGAATGAGGTTTTGAACCATTCTGGCAGTGACTCAACATTTTTCTTTCTCTTGGTTTCCTTTATTAAAGTTGACTTGCATTTTTCACTTTTGAAATATTATGACCAGGTGAAGAACCGTCACACTCAAATCTAATACAATTTTCAACTAGACCAAGGAGAGGAAGAAGTCCAAAACATCAGGGCCTCTCTCTCTCTCTCTCTCTCTCTCTCTCTCTCTCTCTCTCTCTCTCTCTCTCTCTCTCTCTCTCTCTGTGTGTGTGTGTATAGTCTTGAGGAGGTTTAAAAGTGAACATTTCTGAATCACTTTTCTTTATGACACATAAATTGGATGTGACTCTGCTTAACCATGTGACTTAGTTCATGGTGTTTATAACTGCTAAGACAGGACATAGTTATTAAGAGGCGCAGTTTGTTAAAATTCGTTTTTTTTTTTTACATGTCTCTTATGACAGTTTTCCCTCATCTATACTCAGTTGTATTTGTCATCATGCAGCTGAACTAGGTATGGGCTCCCCCTTGTGGTCACAACTGTTCCCATAATAACCCTAAGCAGCCTGCTCCTAAACCCACTGTATGTACGTGCATGTTGTCCCCCCTCCCCCTTGTGCCTCAGGTGACAGCTCCTTCCAGCAGAAACGGAGAGACATGCAGTATGTACAGATGATGAAGTCAAAGTGGATGCTGAAGACGGGCATGAACCACAATGCCACCAAGCAGAAGCACTTC